GTTCTCTTTTGGCATGACTAATAACTCAATCGTTGATTATGTGTATTATGGGTTCCGAGAAATGGTTAAAAGTTGATTGTTTTTACTTTTAAATTCGACGAGGGGGTAAATTCTCAATTTTCTTCTTTGATTCGATATCCAACAATTTAGTTGTTTATGTGTATGGACCAAAGCTACAATCAATCTAAGTTTGATAATCTTGTCATGACTCCGGACCAAATTCTATAAATTAAATTAATCCAATTAAACATGTTATATATACACACACACACGCACTCAAACTTATCATAGACGCTATGTCATTTAATATATTATACAATATTAGCACTCTATAATCAATTATTGAGTTTGACTGCTGGCTGAAATCGGTACATTTTACTGATAATTTTTTTTATTGAAAATAGAAAGGAGTAATAGAACACGTATAATATATATAAACATGCGAATCTACATTAATTGAGTCCGGACCAAATTCTATCAATTAAATTAATCCAATTAAACATGTTAAATAGATATATATGCACACTCAAACTTATCATTATTTAATATATTATACAATATAAGCACTCTATAATCAATTAGAGTTTGACTGCTGGCTGAAATTGGTACACTTGACTAATAATTTGATTGGAAATAGAAAGGAGTAAAAGAACACGTATATATATAAACATGCGAATCTACATTAATTATGTTATCATAGATGCTATGTAATTTAATTTTAATTTTCATTCAGACCAAAACAGAAGTCGAGACTGTAAAGAAAGTGCAAGAAGATTACCTTTATCCAGTGACGGAAGCTTTCATTATTAGTGATCGATTGCTCTCCCAGGCACATATATCTACTTGCTCATTGTCGAAGATAAGCAGAAGTTCCAGAATATGGAGGCCATGGACATGAAAGCTACGCGGGCTTTGAAGAGGCACTACCCTGTAAATATCTCTTTCGTGGCATGCACGTTATTCACACCACAACGAAAGAAGATTATGATTTGATTAAATAAATAGCCCATCAGGAAAAAAAAACACAATTTCACTAACAATTGCTAGTATAAGTTCAAAAGAGACATGCATCCTCCAGTGATCACATCATACACATGGATTCATTTATGACACGAGGACGGGGGATGTTGCTGAAGACTGGCACTTGGCGGTGGTAAGGAAATAATCAGAGAGAGAGGCAAAAGGAGAGAATTCATACCAAAAGGTGAAGTACGCTAACAGGGATCCAGAATCTAAAGCCTGCAAAAATTCCGCAAACCCGTCAACATACAAAACAACAGTTACTCCGACCAGGATAGCTAACATTGTTTCTTAAGTGTCTCACCAAATAGCAACACTCATTCCATCATAACTAATGCATCATCGATCAGCTCTTCACCTTAACCCTCTAAAATCCAATCTTTCACTACATAATTATCATGCTTTCCTAATCCCATTGCTCTGTTTTTGAAGATTACCGACTTAATGGAATTGTTGTAGAGTGTTTGAGGGGAAGAGATGCACACAAAATCTGGATTTATCATTTACCTATATATCGATCCAGAGTAGAAATCGAGGTTAGGGTAAAGCTTTCTCTTGACAAAGTAATCGCCTGAGAGTGCAGCCTTCTCCAGAGCAACAGCTACTAACAAATCATCAGATCCTTAAATATCTAACCAACATCCCTTCTAAGAAGATCAACTATTCACTGAACTGAACAGGTTTGTGTTATTTTCTAAGAGAGACTTGATTATAAATGACATGAGATGTATACCTCAAACAGAGGATCCCTTCCAACAATAGAAAATACTTCCTCTGCCAGTTTCTTAATGACTTTTGCTCGGGATCATAGTTTCTGTAAACAACACGATGTCCAAAACCCGACATCTTCTGTTATGCCTTTTCAAGTTTATGTTAAGGGCTGAAGGAAGAAGGAAGAGATGTCAGGAGAAGCTTCGGTTTGAGAGGAAGGTTCCACAGACAACAGAGCAGAAATTCCAGAGCGGCTAATTATGATGTTATTCTGTTATTGCTTATGATTACAGTTTTGCTTTTGGGCATGTACATGTTTTTGGTAGAAGAAACGGTTTTAGTACAGCTCAGCATCTGCCGCTGAAGCTGCAGTATATGGACGGCTAGTAGAAGAAGTGAGGGGCACGTTTTGATTCTGGGAATTGTCATGTAAAGGGGAGAGAAGGGGTCTCTCATTAATCAAACCCACTTGTTTTGGTTTGTTAAGAAAGGAATTTTCTGCTTGTTTCTTTACAAATTGATCTGAGTTCATAACATCTTCCTCTTCCTGGACGTACATTAGTAAGCGGATGAGAATATCGATAGGATGACCGGACCAGAAATTCAAGTAACTTGTGGTTCAAAAAATAACTTACCTGTTCTTCACACCCTCGATTAACTCTCGGATTTTTCAACGGTTCCAATCTCCGATAATATCTTTAACACAGCCTGATGGAACCAAAGATGTTAGCACAAAAAAGAAAAACGTATAAAATTTGGACACCAGTTTAAACCTCATTTGCACCACCATGCAGGGGACCATATAGTGCACCAACAGCTCCGGCCACAGCAATGTACACATCAACACCACTGCAGAAACACGTGATTCAGTAAGATACCTCTTACCAGACTCGTTCGTCATCATGCCCAAACCAAAGAAAAGAGATGTACCTGGAAGCAAGATGCCTGGCAACAGCAGTGGAACAATTCATTTCATGTTCCGCATGCAGTATAAACAGGATGTCCAGGACTCGAGCCAGTCGAGGATTAGGTTTGTAAGACCTATTGCCCCTGTGATCATTTGAAAAATAGAAACTTGTTGGGACAGTGATTTCAGAAACTATGCAACTGTTCGACATGATCAATGCTTCCTATGAATGGGTTTAGGAAACATAAATCAGACATAAAAATCTTAAACATTGTTGATGATCCTTTCAAGTGTCTAACCAAATTAAGAGGAAAGTGATAGTGGGCAGTCACATACATGGAATCCAGGATATAGAGGAAATTCTCTGCATAAGAAAGGTTGCTAGAAGGAAGAACTGGAGGCCTTCCTGCCATCCTCAGATACGCAGCTGCTGCAAAAGCAGGTGCCTGCAAACGCATTCGATTTCATAAGCACATTGCAAAACTTCAGTCCAAAACCCACATTTAAATTCAAATCCATTTACAGATTTTGGGTGAAAAATTGAATAACCGGACACAAGGAGAAAGTAACAAAACAACAAATGGAAAAAGGGAAAACATACCTTTCCAAGAATGCGAACAATCTGTTTGTCTCTAACTTGTTTAGACTTGTAAATATCATGGTCCTGCACCCATTGCGAAGTCCCGACAAACCAATAAACAAACTAAAGCATAGTATATTCATATGGCCAGTTTCAGAAAGAGCTCATCTTAACAACACCGACAACACAATTGCAGACATGTCATTAGACAAGAAGTCAGTCCCAACTTACCCTGACAGCAGGGTTTGCATCAGGATGAAAGACCCATTGCACTAACAAGAACTCTCATTGGGTGAGTATCATGAGGCATAGACTGTATAATATCCTGCAAAAACATTCATAATAAGAAATATCAAGTCAAAACAAACATATTTTTTCACCAAACACTTGCTTTTCAAAATCGCCGGTACATTCGTCGCATATCTATAGCTCAAGAGCTCTAAGCTGAGTTCAGAACCCTCGATCGACATCAAACTATGTTGCTGTCCAATCAACTCGAAATGTTTTACAATGGTCAAACAGTCAGACCATCATGCAGACCTCCAGCACTAGACAACCGGAAACCGCCGAACGGTGGCACCGAACACGGAGAAGCGAGCGGTGGTAAGGAAATAATCAGAGAGAGAGGCAAAAGGAGAGAATTCATACCAAAAGGTGAAGTACGCTAACAGGGATCCAGAATCTAAAGCCTGCAAAAATTCCGCAAACCCGTCAACATACAAAACAACAGTTACTCCGACCAGGATAGCTAACATTGTTTCTTAAGTGTCTCACCAAATAGCAACACTCATTCCATCATAACTAATGCATCATCGATCAGCTCTTCACCTTAACCCTCTAAAATCCAATCTTTCACTACATAATTATCATGCTTTCCTAATCCCATTGCTCTGTTTTTGAAGATTACCGACTTAATGGAATTGTTGTAGAGTGTTTGAGGGGAAGAGATGCACACAAAATCTGGATTTATCATTTACCTATATATCGATCCAGAGTAGAAATCGAGGTTAGGGTAAAGCTTTCTCTTGACAAAGTAATCGCCTGAGAGTGCAGCCTTCTCCAGAGCAACAGCTAATAACCAGGATCGTTAAATTTAAGCCTTCTGTCTCCCTTACCAGTCGTTATCTGCCCACCATAAACCGATCCAACTCAAAATTCTTTAATCATACGTCAAATTTTTTCTCATTTCCAAGGACAAATAGGTAATACAGATCGAAATTCAGAGCGAAAACATCAAATTCACCGTTTA